TTGACCGGTCCTTTTATATGTGGGCCACCCCATTCTAGAGGGGGGGTGTGGTCAACTCACTATACGAGGGGGTTGACCCCACCCACAGGCTTGTCAGTTGGGGGTTGCTGTTGCCGGTGTGTGACTCCACCCATCCTTTCACTCATGACACACAGCACACCGCGTCCTCACAACGAACGCCACCTTAATGGGCTACAGAGAGGAGCTGCCCAAGCCAAAATATAGTGGACTTTCGGTGAAAGTGGTGGTAAATGCAAGGAGGATGATGCAAGAACGAACGCGTGTATGTGCCAAGTAGCAGCCTTGGTAAACGCGTGCAGTGTTCTTCTGTTGCAACATGTTCTGTACAACATGCAACATGTTCTTCGGGAGTGTAGCTTAGCTTCCCCCATTGGGCCCCCTCACAGGGTCCCAAATCGTGGCCTTTTGAAGCATTTTCTGTGTTCAACCGCACCGAGACTGACGCATTTTCATTGGTTTGCTGGTTAGCGCGGTCGATGCTAATAATGAAGGTACTAGATAAGGCGGGGTAATGAGTAGCGGGGTAGCCGCCTCAATACTTTGCCGTAGTCTATGTATCTGCGGTGATTTTGTGCGGTGGCGGGTGCAATCGATCATTTTGAATTTTGAATCCGGGTCAGTGGCTGTGCCGATACATGGTGATGTGGGAACCGCCTCGTCAAGAGCTTTCCAACAACGTCTCGCTGGGTTTACGTATCCTTTTTGACGTGGAGTACTCGAGCTTAATCTATCGGTAAGGGTGTGGTATCTTCCATGTCACCTACGGTGGACGTCATACATACGTTCCCCCACAGATTTGGGTTTCCGGTGGTTTCTCTGCACAGAGCGACGCAGCAGCAATTGTAAAGCTATTCCCCCGCGAACTGGTTTGTTTCCAGATGACCCCTCCCCACACACCGAAGCAGCAGCAACAACGATGGTATCCGCCACGAGCTGTGTGCATGCTCCGTCTTGTGTGGTAGTTGACACAGACCAGGAGCCTGTAGGACGCTCAGAAATAACGAGCGCGAGGGTCTGGGACAGCCTGAAAGAATCCGCCGTGAGCATCAGTCTTGTAGCTTTTTCGCCCCAAGCGCAGGTAGGTTTGGTTTACCGATGATCCCTCCCCACACACCGAATCAACAGCAATGTCAATGGCATCCGCCACGAACTGTGTGTATGGCTCCCTCCCCCCGCCAGTGCTGTCTTGCCCCTCCCAGTGGTGTCGCGTGTTTAGCTGAGTGCTTCCTCTGTTCCAAACTGCGTGACTGCGTGTGTATGTGCGGGAGATCTCCGAGTTTTTGTTCGTCCATTACCTGGACAACTCCCCGGGGATGGGGGTGAGTATCTCCTACGGTTTTCGGGTACAAATGCCTGTGAAGCACGACCATCTACTGTCCGAGCACGGCCAAACCGGCGTGGTGAAGAACACCCTATTTTTTTTCTTCGTCGTAAGCCAGCAGATCGTCAATCGGTGCTCCAATAGACCTCTGCGGGTCGAAAAGGAGGGAAAATTCAGGCGATGGCTTTTAGAAACTTGGGCCCCTGGTAGACAGAGCCTGTTTTTTGTTTTATCTCTCCTGGGGCGGAGGGAAAATAACGGTCGCACTTCGCGCTCCGCGGCCCATTGTAATAAAACACACACGAAACACAAACATCGCGGCGCCAACTACAAGCAGGGGGGGTTTGTGCCGGCTAGAATGTCGTTCCTTTCAGCATGGTACGTTTCTATATCTGCACCGCAGGCAGGCGTTAGGAGTTATCTTAAATGTACACAATGCGTGTGGCACAGCAGCAGTAAATAATGTATGTACAAGCTTTTTGTCGGCTTTCGCCGCCACTGAGAGAGGCGTTCCGCAAGACGCCTGTTATTGGCATATTGTTATTTTCGAATGAACTGGCCGCTGTTCCTAGTCGCCATAAATGCTGCTGCTTGGATATAGAGAAGAGAGTGTACACAACTAAATAAAATCGCACCCTTATAGAAGCCGAAATCAAACCATTAGACTACTAGTCAATGGTTTGATTTCGGCTTCAATAAAAGTTAGTTGTGGGGTTCGTGACCTTTTATAGAAGCCGAAATCAAACCATTGACTAGTCAGCGCTGACTAGTCTAATGGTTTGATTTCGGCTTTTATAACCCCCGCGCGCCCACGAATCACGAGAGAAACAGTCGTTCTATTGTCGTCGATGTGTTCAGAAAAGCAAATGGTGGAGCATTAGATTCAGTCTTACATCGTTGAAAAGAGGGGGGTGTACTCATACTCATAGTCGTGCATGCCGTAGTCGTTTGACCATTGACCTCGCATCCCTACAAAGCCGGGACGGAGCACGCCGGGTTCTCACCGGACCAGGCTCTCACATCACCAAGCGCGAAGCGCCGTGAGGTATTTGGCGAGTCGCATGAAGGGTGAGCTGCATCCTGCTAAGGGTGTTCGGCATCTTGTGCTTACTTCCTTGCGTACGGATGACAGCTACGTATGACTTAATTTATTTTCTGGTGCTTTCACTTCCAGAGACAGTTGTAAGCACTGTGTAACTGCCTCGAGGAAGCTTGACCATTTTAACACAACGTGGTGCGATCATCCCCCGTTGCGCGGAGTGAGGTAAAAGGCAAAAAAACAAAATGAAAGCCGAAAAGAAGCTGCCTCACGCGCAATCCTCGCCGTTGGTGCTTGTTGTCGTCTCCCACTTCAACCCCCTACGTCACTGAGCGCTTCCCTGATATCGTACAGCAACCAACCGTAAAGCTACCCGCCGTAAGCTGTTGTGAGTGTGTGTGCTCCATCTTGTTGTGCTGACATGCGGTTGGTTCAACCTCAGAAACAGCTTTTCACCGCTGACGTGCTTCTTGAAATGGTGTTTGACACTGACGTGCCGGACTGTTCAATCCGAGGGCAACCTGAAACACGAAAAAACAGTACAGGGAATCAACCTTCCTTTGTGGGGTAGGGGAAAGAAAAACATTTTTTGTTATCCGTCAGTGTCAGCTTGAAAGATGTTCGTTGTGTGCGATGGCATGGGTATAGATCCCGTGCTGGGGGTGTGCAGACCTGGTTTCCCATCGGCCGACCCCTGGTTATGCGCATGCCCCGTCTACCAGGAAGGTGCACCCGAAGACCTTCGAACAGCTTCGGAAGACCGTGCTACCCACCGCAAGAAGGAGCTGAGGACTCTATACTCGGCGAGCTAAAGCAGAACTCGAACGGGTCCCCGGTGTCCCACCTCAACAACACGGACATCGAGAAGATGGCCGATCCCCCGTGCACTCGCGACAGCTCCCTGTCGGGAGGAGGCGGGAACCTGCGGAAGTCCGGCTCCGTGATCCACGGCGAAAGTGAGGCGTCGAATGAGTGGCCCCCAGCATCTTCTGCTGTTTGTTCGAGGCTTTTTGTTTCCCGCAACGCGTTTGTTTTTTAATCACTTAGGCTCTTGGGTGGTGTCGTGCGGTCATGACAGGGTAAAAAAAAGTTGTGGGTGTCTCCTGATACTACGTGTGTGTCCTGTAAGAAGCATTGGTTCCCGGGCAGTGTATACAACACCTTTTTCTTCCCTGACACAGCCCGCGACCAGTCTGCGAAAAAAAACGCCCCTACAGGGAGGGGGGCAGGACGACCGATTGGTCGCGCGCAGAACAGCCGGCCCCTGGATAGTGCTCCTAGCAGGACGAGGGTGTCAACCCAGACGTTCGAAGGGGCCAAGCACCAGGCCGCTGAGTGTCCGTTCGAGGACTCCTGCCTCGCCGTCTTCAGGCTGACGGCGAGCCATGTGGAGACGAACATCGTTCTCCACGGACAGGCGTGAGTTGTCTTTCATCACGCAAGCCAGGAACCGAAGAGTTTTTTTTCTTAATTCAATAGTCTTGTTGACAAAGGCTGTAGGCTCTTTCTTGCCCGCGATTAATGCTCGTTCGCAAGGGTCGATTAACTCACATGGTCCGCAACAAGTCCCCCTTTTTTTTCATGTTTTTGCCCACGCTCCGCCGATAATCTTGTTTTTGTCGTCGCATTTTTGCTCGTCAGCGGTGTCAGGGCAAAAAGAGTGGTTACATGCTTGGCGACACCGACGAGGGCAGGCTTGCCGCTTCCACCACGGCCTCCGCCGCCTCCGAGACAGCAGCAGCGACCACGACACCGGGGAAGGGCAAGGGGAGAGCAGGGGGCACAGACGGCGGTCGCAAAATGGCGACATTAGGGTCGCAAACCGGCGAGGGCCGCCTCCTCCGCCACCGAGACGGCAGGAGCGACCACGCAACCGGGGAACGGCAAGGGGAAGGCCGGGACCACAGCAGTCGGTGTCCGGAAGGAGGGCGGAGCTGGCGGCGGTCGCGAAACGGCGACGAGTGGTCGCAAACCGGCGAAGGACGCCGCCAGGAGCAAGGAGGCGGGCAAGGTCTCTGGCATTAGGGACTCGGGCAACGCCAAACCCTCCTCGCCGAGTGTTGCTGACAACAATACCGCCCCGCCGCCGCCTTCGACGGGCCGGCGCGGTGGTGGGTCGACCGACCCGCTCGTGGTGAGCAGCAGCTCCGACGAGGAGGAGGCCGGCGGTGGTGCCCGTGGCGGGCGGGTGAAGGGGGGTTCGATGGGTGGGGGTGACATGGTACCCACCTCCGACCTCCTGACTTGGGCCGCAACTGCGCTGGAAGGACACAGGATTCAGCAGCAGCGGCGGCGGCAGGAGCAGCAGCAGCAGCAGCAGCAGCAGCAGCAGCAGCAGCAGCAGCAGCAGCAGCAGCAGTTCGAGCAGCAACAAGGAACGAAGACGACCGGCCTGCGCGTGGGTTCATCGCCAAACTTCGCGCTTGGACGGGCTCAGGGAAGCTCTGGCGACGGCGCATTCGCTTCCCCTCCTCCACCGACCGACCGACCGACAGGCAGGCAGTGGCGGGAGGACCGCCACTAACGTCTCGCCTCACAACCCAGCCTCGAAGCGCAGGAGCAAGCCTGGGTCCGCAGCGCCACACAAGTTGAGCTCCAGTGGCAGGGGTGGGAGGAGCGGTGGTGTGGGTAGGGGGAGGGGGGGCAGCGGCAGACTGAGCGATGGTGGCGGGGCAGGGTCAGACAATGACTTCCACGAGTCCTCTGTGGCGGCCTGTGGCCGCAGGTAGACCTCGCTGGCCTGACCAGCAGGACGCGGCTTTGAGACGGGGGGGGAAGGGAGGGAACGTGTGCTGTTTCCTGTATGCAGGCTGCTAACTACAACGGCAGTCAAAGGATTTGGAGGTTTGTGTTTTTGTTGTTCCCTTTCCTTTCACCGATCGATTGTGGTGATTTTGTTTCAGTTTCGCTCGACTGTCTGTTGCGAAAGAGTAAAAAAAAAAAAAACGCCGGATACGGTTGTGTATCGGCGCTCGTGGGTTCTACTTTTGTGGTGCCTTGATGTCCTTGGTCCCCCCTCCCCTTCGTATTCGCGTATTCGCGTGGGTGATTTTTCCAGGGGATTGGTGAGGTATTGCTTTCTCGTTTGTTTCTTGCCCCGTCGTGGCACAAGCGTGGGTATTGTAGCGTGTGTGCTTCCGTTTGGGTGCGTGTTGCAGTTGAAATGTTTTATGAGTACATCCCTTTTTGTCGTGCCGTCATACGTCCATCATGAGTGTGTTGGCTGCCCGAGGTGTACATATTATATCCCTGCTTGTTGGTGAAGTTGTCGTCTCCTTAGACGAGGCTGTACGTTGGAGGGTGGTTGGGTCGTGAAGTCGACAAGTCACTGGGCGTCACTTCTCGAGTTTTGTTGTTCATTTTTTCAATTACATCAGTCCTTTTCAGTACACACTTCCGGGTGGATTTTGCAGTGCTTTCTTACTTGGCTGTGATCCGCACTTCAGCAAGCCAGTGGGCGTCACTTCTCGACTTTTGTTGTCGATTTTTTCAATTACTTCAGTCCTTTCCAGAACATTTACAGGTGTTTTTTTTAGAGTTTACGTACTTGGCTGTGATCCGCGTGTCGTTTTATAGGTCGTTCGATGTGAGCCTCTGCTTGCGCCATCCCCTAAGGAGCGGTAAACTGTTTTTTTTCGGGATGATGCTTGCCGTGCCGTGCTGGTGTGTGTGTATTCTGTCCGATTTGGACAACGTGCGATGTCTGGGTGGCGATACAAGTGTTTTTTATGTGTGTACTTGGAGCCACAATCATTTTCGTAACACTCTCGAGTCAAAACGGAACAGAATGTAGACGATTGGGGACCCCTGGCGCTTGTGTCGGTGTGGAAGGATGTATCCTTTCGAGGTAGATAGTAGCTTTGCCTTTCTTTCCCTTCGTTGGGTCGTTCGCGCTCGATTCGATTTGTCATAGCGATGTTGATGTTGCCCGATGCGCGCCTAGGCATTTGGGATACAGTTGTAGCCTTACGGGCGCGTGTTCGCCGAGCGGCGCGGAAGGGACGTTGTATTTTTGTGTTCGTGTTCTGAGAGGCGGTTTGCGTTTCGAGACGGAAACAGCCGACCAGACGCGCTCGCGCCATATCCATGTCGAGGATGGGAGTCACGGGTCCCAAACATCATACAATATACTCCAAAGGGCTAGACTACACCTACCTGTAAGATTGTTGCGCCGCCCACCAAGTGGCGTGTAGCACCCAAGCTGCGTGGCGCGGTAGACCCCACTTTCGGCCACCAAGGGAGACCGGTCGTGTTGTTGTCCCCATCCTTGCCTTTGCTGTGGCGTACGGTTGTGTTCGTTGCTCGAGGTTCTTATTATGTGTACCTTTCTTTGTTTGCAACATCGTAACCTTTTCATATGCGGGTGATGAATCAATTGGAGACGGTATCGGCCTGAGAAACCACATGGCGTACCATGGCGGAGTGTGATGTGTTGGTGGTGATGTTTTGCAGACGAAGATCCTTTCGCAACGGACGGAATCCCCTCCTGTTCTGCCTGTAGGACTTGTTTCGTGTGCTTCCGGACGTGCCAGGTTTGGGATATTCATTCGGTCTTGGGATGCCGGGTAGCAAGCGTCGTTGTTCATTCATTTTGTATGGAGAGAGTCAAAACGCGCCGTCTGTCACCTTATGTTTGTCAGGGTGCTACAGTACTTCAATCTACAACAGAAGGGGGGTTTTCCGTGCCCCGTGGTTGGGTGATTACAGTATGGAACATCTAACAACTATCGAAGCCACCAGACCCATTGCACAATGTGCTGCACGGAATGTGCTCATATCATTTGTGGACCCGGGGGCTTTGAAATTCTTCTTGCTGGCTCGGCGGTGTTCGTTTACTTTTCGCGGCCGTTCAAATAATGCCGTTCGTTGCCTGAAGCAGCTGTACACTTGCATGCACGAGGAGTTGGATTTCCCGCCAAGGCCGTCCTTCAGTTTTGGCTTCCCAAACTTGCGTGTATACAAACGTGTTTCTGCGTTGCTGCCTATGGAAAACGAAAAGATGCTAAAAAAAGAAGCCGGTATGTATGAAGTCAAAAAATCATGCCTCGGGTTTCAGCGGGAGTTTTTCGTTGGCAGCCCCTTTCCCAACACGAGAAGGCTGCTGAACCCACTTGTCTCATCCCCTCGTGCTTCGCCCACAGAGCACGGCTTGCCACCAAAGTAGATGGGCGCCTCGAGAAAGCTATCAACTCCATGCGTGAGTTAGTTTTACCCTTTGCCTTTTTCTCTGAACGGGAGAAATGTTGCACCATGACATCTGGAGTGAAGACGTTTTTCCCCTTGAGAACGGCGTTTGCGTGTCGGGCCGTTGATTGATGGTTCCTTGGTGTGCAATGAGGGGGGATACTTGCCCAAAAGGCCGGATAGGTTAGGTCCAGCGATCGTCTTCCCCCGGCTTCGGTGCGTTGTCCCTGCCGTAGGATGTTCGTGTTTCTCGCGGTGTTGGGACTTTCGGAGGTGGTGTTGGCGTCGTGCCCTATTTATTAGCCGTCTGTCAGAAGAACGATTCCGCAGCGCCTCGGGGAAAGTAGGTCCGTGCGTAAAAAGCTTGCCCGCAGCAACGTGTTCCAGTGCACTTAGTCCTGCTTCTGAAGACCCCCGACGTGTCTGATTGCAGGTGTTCGGGAGTGTCTGTCAATCATGTCAGTCGATGTAACACCACCACCGTGTTGGTGCGATGCGGTTTGCTTTGCCGAGCAGAGAAACAACGGAGTGATTCTTCGAAGTACCATGCGCCATCGGGCTTTCTCTTATGTTACAGTACATTACGGCCCACTATAGGTAAGGCATCTTCGTTTTTTTCTCTTTTTGTGCCCGCCTATCCCTCCTTTCTTGGGTCATCCTCCCCCTCTGCTCCGGCACCACCTCCCTCGCCTTCCCCTTCCCCTTCCCCCTCCTGCTTAGCCGCCGCCGCCGCCTCGGCGGTCTCCCTCTCCCGCCTTTGCGTTGCGGAGTGCGCCAGAGCCTGTCCAGGTAAAACACATGCCGTGATAACACACATCTACAAAGGTCACAGATTCAGCTTTTACGAACGACTACGCAGTGCGCCTTGGACGGCATACGCGGGGTTGCTGGTGGTGTGACTCACTCCCGCTTTTGCGTACCGGAATGTGCCAGAGCCTGACCAGGAACAACATCATTATGAGTCGTGCCCACACCAAAAAGGTCACAGCTCCAGCGTTATGGACGGTCACGCTGCTGCCGTTGTGCGCTTCAGACGGCATATGTACGCTGCCTGGTTGAATCAAACCTCACAGCTCGCAGCACCTGTCGCCATATACACCACGACAGCTGCAGAGCGGCGCTGCGCAAAACGCGAAGTGCATTCCAGACGTTGTCGTGCACAAAGAGCTCAAACGATTACTGTAGCTAGAGCCCATCGCTCATAAACTGGTCAGGCCGCTGCAGTAGCTTGCGCGGTTTTGGGTCTACATTCTGACGTGTCTGTGCAGGACTTCTTCTGCGAAAGAACATGAATGGATGTTTAGAGCATGACTCTCAAAGCACCGTACATCACACAGTTGCCCGCGAGAACCATGCTCGCATTCACGGCACCACCTTTACGAGCTAATCACCTGGACGAAGGCTTCGACGCCATCGCCCCTCGCCATCGCTTCTGCGCTGCGAGGATTGCTAGGGTCCAGCTCGAAGCTCGACATGATGTTGTTGAAGTTGTCGGACTGAACAGGAAAGGGCCGTGGGGCGTCACGCGTCGAGAGGACACACCATAAATGGACATTCAACGCTGCCAGCGACAACGAGGGCTGCCCATCCTACTAGTTAATTCTTCGACATGCGTACGGTCGTCCTCTGGTCAAAAATACAGTGGAAAGAAAACCCGCGAAGAATTGTGGCGGAACGGTATCAATAGTGGAACTGAGCAGCCATCCCGTTCCTCGTTGAACGTGAAGTCGAGGCGAGTGTGCTCACGAATGAATCGTTTTTCCACCGGAAACTGCTGGAGAAAATCTATTTATAGCGAGAATCGAACTCCAACCTGCTAGCAAATTGTAGAGGTTGAGGCTAACCGCTACGTAGGCCGGAACGCAAATCTCGATTTTCAATGTGAAGATAGCAAACCCAGTGCTCGCTTAACACCCGACACTCCATCAAGATCACCCTCAATCAATGAGGAGGAAACGACGATCACAATAATGATTGGGGAGGAAATGACACACTTTCGGCCATATAGTCAAAAACTGAGACTACTGCAACCCTGGAACCCCACTTACCCTTAGGGCGCGGGAGAGCGACGAAAGCGATTGCTGAAGCTGGGGGCTTCGGATCTGATGAGTAGATTCGTTGCAGAATCCACCACGCACGACGTCAGCACGTTGTACCACAGCACGCGAAGAGTCACAACAAGAGGGTGCGCAAGGGCAATTGGCGAAGTCATTGACAACACATAGTCTGTTGCTCCCTCTGCTACATGTTGCGAAAGACCAAGCCGTACGTTCCGGCACTAACAGTGGTAGTATTCCATGTTTCGGGACTAGAGCGGATCCGGCGGCATGGGGCGGCCAAGTCTAGCAGAGAGAGAGAGAGAGAGAGAGAGAGAGAGAGAGAGAGAGAGAGAGAGAGAGAGATCAAAGCGAGAGAGGATAGGTAAGGGGGGCACAAAACGGGATAATGCCAATTCACCCTCATCCTCAAGGACGCGCTGGAGTTGGCAGATCTTCGCTCAACCAAAAAAAGCAAAACGCCTGCATATCTTGGTTTCCAGTTCCAGTACGAATCTACCATCGCGCAGCAACATTTATCGCGACCCCAACACGTGCTCCGCGGCAAGGGCGTACTCTGAAAGAGCACTGCAACGATACTTACGGTTTCTCTCAGCTCCTCCGCCGTCTGGTTTCCTTCGGGCAAGAGCGGCAAGAGCGCCTCCTGCACCTCCGGGTCATCGAGGAAACCCGAGGCTTCGATAGCGTCCGCGTCCACTGCATCCCTCAGAGAGAGGGCCTTCCCACGCCAAAAAAAAGGTTGTGTTTTTCCCGCCAAGCACGCAACCAACGAGATCGTTATTGTGAGCGATATTGAACCAACGACGGGAAGTTGGGATGAGAATTGAGAGCTGTGCGTTGGAGAAGTCGCCTTCAGAGATGGACCCCGGTTGGTGCGCCAGACACTGCAAGACTGGCGCCCACAACAAATGAAAACACTCTCACGCATACACAATAACCTTGCTAGCACAACAGCCGACAACGCGCAGTTGAGCCTATTTCGGCGCACTGAACGATTCGCTGCGCTGAGAGTACTATAATGCTCGCCACCTACAGAGTAACCGTTTCACCCTCAACTAGGCCACAGGGATGGGGGATGCAGCAAGCCGTGGCAACAGCGCAATTCGCGATGAACGCCGGTTTCCGTAAGCGAGAAGATACGCATCCACACCAAACAAATGGGCACACAGTCATTCACAATGATTGGCCGACTCCCCCCCCCTCCCCACCGGTCAAATTGGGCGACCATGGATGGTGGGGGGGGGGGGGGGGGGGGGGGACCATTCCCGGGGATTTACCCCCCCTTTCCCCCC